TGCTATCGAGTCGGACCTGACTCATAGCGACCCCTCCTTGGGTTTCCAAGGTGGTATCACTACAAAAGTAGATTGCCCAGCCTTCCTTCCTAGGAGTGGCTGGTGGGTTTGAACCTCCAGCCTTCTGGTTAGCAGTCAAATGTCAAATGCTTTAGGCACTACGCCACCAGAGCTCATATGTGTATATATGTATGTATGTATATGTGTGTGTATGTGTGTGTGTGTGTGTATTTATTTATTTATATATAAAAGAGTTCGGTGCAAAGATGAGAGTTGTGAACATTCAGTGGAAGATGAAGTATAGATTTAGGGACTGAACTCCATTGACTATTCCAGAAGGAGAGAAAAGGAGCCAGTAAATGAGACAAGAGAATAATTGGTGAGGGAGAAGCACAATATGGGTTCTCTAATACCATAGGTGGAGAGTTTAACAAATAAATGTAATAAACAGTGCCAGATGTTACTAGGAAATCAAGAATTAAGTTTAATTCTTATAAAACTGAACAGCATGCATTAAAGAAGTATGAATTGCTTGTATCATTAGTTTCACCTTGGCTTATGCCCAAATACTGTGATGTCAGAAAATATGAAGATTGAAAATATACCTAAAGCATAAACTATTCTCCAATATGATTTCTCAGGGTTAATTATTGTTTGGGATTGGTTAAATCTCTGACTTATATTTTGATCTTTGTTATAATATAGGCTAAATATTCATTAACATTTGTAGAAAGGAAGGTGATAGAATTTAATAGGTTGCCACCTCCCTGTGGGTCACATACTGATTTGAAACCATGTTATCATTTAGTTTTTCAGAACAATGAATTCCCACAAACGAGTTAAGGAGCAATCAATCAGATGTATAAATTGTACTGGCACTTGGTTTTTGCATGCTCTTCCAAGGAAAAGCTTTTCCTTGTGTGTGTGCCTTAATCATATACCTTTCTCACAGTTTTGTATCTAATTCCAGTGCTTCAGGAATTGTGGTTTTATGTGTAGATTTAATAACTGGGGTTAAGGGTGTGGGCAGATATGAGACAGGAATTAGGGGAATGCTCTTGGTGGTTTTGTGGTGGTAGTTTTATTGTCTGTTGTACAATCATAAAAACTAAAGAAACTTTACACTTTAAATCTCATGGATCATACAAAAAAATCCAATGAAAAAGCCGGGTATTTTGATTGCTAAGCTATAAATATATTTATTGAAATGTAGGCTATATCTTCATCATACTAATACCTTATTCTGTCACTAACAATCTTTATTTAGAACACATGCTGACTCTGCAAAATCCACCTCTTCGGAAACAGACTGCAATGATAACGTCCCTTCTCATAAAAACCCTGCTTCTTCCCAGAGCAAACATGGAGTGAATGGCTTTTTTCAGCAGCAAATGACGTATGACTCTCCACCATCACGCGCTGCATCTGTTTCTGTAGATTCCAGCCTTTATAACCTTCCCAGGAGTTATTCCCATGATGTTTTACCAAAGGTGTCTCCATCAAGCACTGAAGCAGATGGAGAACTCTATGTTTTTAATACCCCATTTGGGACGTCGAGTGTAGAAACTCAAATGAGGCATGTATCTATTAGTTACGACATTCCTCCAACACCTGGTAACACTTACCAGATTCCACGAACATTTCCAGAAGGAACCTTGGGACAGACGTCTAAGCTAGAGACTATTCCAGATATTCCTCCACCTCGGCCACCAAAACCACATCCAGCTCCTGACCGATCTCCTGTGGAAACGTGCAGTATCACACGCACGACCTCGGACACTGAGAGTAGTTACTGTATCCCTCTAGCAGGAGTGCCACCATCACGTAGCAATACCATTTCCACTGTGGATTTGAACAAATTACGAAAAGGTCAGCTTTCATTGGCTTCTCCTGTATTAGAGTTAATGATAGAAAATCTGTTCTTCTGAATATTTGTTCTTTTAAACATAGTATGATGTTAAATGATAGCCCTTTCTTCCCTCCTTCTCCCCAGCTCATATAACCAAGATACTAGTTACAGTAGATTTCTTCAAGAGAAGGGTGTATGTGTCTGTGTACATGCTCTGCTGGAAGGGAGAAAGAGTGAGAGTTTTTCATCCCTGAAGAAATAAATCCTTCATAATGCCTTCCTGCCTCTTGTCTCTCTCCCACTTTATGTATTTCCTGGGTGGGTAGACCCCTGATGGGGCAGAGGAGCAGGAAATGGACTGGCCACAAACCCTCTCTGAGTCGCACCCTTTCCTGTATTTGTGTGTCATTATGGACACTTCTCTGTCACATCTGTTGGATTCTATTTCCTTCCTTCCTATAAAAGCAATTTTCAAGTTGAGTGTAACAGATGATTTTCAGTTCCACCCAAGTCATTATGCTTTTTGTTTGTTTGTTTTTATTTTTTTAGCACCGAATCTCCTTCCTTTATTATCCCTAGCTACTTCAATTACTTCTAGTCGAGTATACTCTTCCTATGCCATCTCCTAGAATCTGCCACCAAAAGTTAACATATCTCGAGAGGAGAAAGTTGGGTCTGGGTTAACTTTCTGAGATTCTTAAATCCCTAAAGATACAAAGCCAGAGTTTTAAATACACCTACCCTAAAAACTATCCACTAAAACGTAATGTGTTTTGCAGTAGGATTACCCAGCTGTCTTAAAGAACATAAAGATTCATGACATCATGAATAGTGCTTATAGTGGTAATTATTTAAGTATTCAATACCATTTATAAAGCTCTTCTTGAAGCAAGGGAAAAACTTGGTTATTCCCAAGGTGATGCAAAAGATAAGAAAGTAGAGGTATTTCTTTTCTCTGTCTTCAGATAATGCCATCTCATTCCAGGCCTAGATGTTTGCTCACTGTTATAAGCAGATACTGGTATAAGTATCTGCATTTTTTAATGGGTTAATTTGCCAATTCATGGTATTTCATGAACTATGAGCATCCTTTTTAAAATCCATGTGTGTGTGTTTGTGTGTGTGTGTGAGTGTGTGGAGAGAAAGAAAAAGAATAAATCATTCCTGTTCACCCTGAGCTGGCAAAGATGAGAAGAAATGTTGATAGTTTGTTCTTTATTTTAGATGTTAGCTCTCAAGACTGCTATGATATACCACGAACATTTCCAAGTGATAGATCTAGTTCACTTGAAGGCTTCCACAACCATTTTGTAAGTATAATTGACCTTAGCATCCTAGAGTGTATTTTATTGTCAGACCGGTACTTACTGCCCTGAGATCATGAAGTAATAGTACCTTCATATCCATATGAGTTAGCTATGACTTAAAATTGTCCATTTGGCAGTAGTTTTTGTTTATTAAAAGAAATATATGTGTGTTTTAGAAAATCAAAAATGTGTTGACAGTGGGAAGTGTATCAAGTGAAGAACTGGATGAAAATTACGTTCCTATGAATCCCAACTCCCCACCACGGCAACATTCCAGCAGTTTTACGGAACCGATACAGGAAGCAAATTATGTGCCAATGACACCAGGGACATTTGATTTTTCTTCATTTGGCATGCAAGTTCCTCCTCCTGCTCATATGGGCTTCAGATCCAGCCCAAAGACCCCTCCCAGAAGGCCAGTGCCTGTTGCAGACTGTGAACCGCCCCCTGTGGATAGGAACCTCAAGCCAGACAGAAAAGGTAAGGAGAGCATGCTGTAGGGAAAGGACTTGGGTTGCCAATTTAGATCTGGATTTAACTGTCATAAAGCTCCAAATGGAATTGAAAGTAGACCTTCTAAAGTATTTAATATTACTTTAGTTATCAACTTAGTCAAGTGAAGCAACACTGCTATTTATAGATTAATAATTATCATGTTGTGTGTTGATACCCAGGTGAGATTTAGATCTCCTAGCTCTAGAACAGAGGTTATAAACTAAAATACTCACAGGGATTGAAAGGCAACAGGAGAGAATCTGGAGAAACTGGAATTCTCCCTGACTAAACAAAGTACCTACTGCTGGGCTGCAGTCCTTCATTGACTTGTGAAAATGTGGGCCCTTATGGGCAAATTGTCTGATGTTTCAAAAGAAGCCAGCAATTGCATTTTATATGTGACATGTCTTGAGTTTAAATTTTGCAAGCTAATTTAATTATTTAAAAATAAAATACAGACCAAACCAAACACTTTTGCAAGGTCGATATATCCTTCAGCTTCAATTTTGTAACCTCTTCTCTAGAGTATATAATATCACATCAAGCTTAAAATTATTGATGTACTTGATAAAATTCTTTAAGAACAGGGAGATTGTGTGTATAATCTTTCCATTTTCTCAGTATAACAACTTCTTAAACATTATTCCTCTTGGGCTGGGGTATAAATAAGTGCTTCTGTTCTTTTCTTTTATATAAATAAGTGCTTCCAGTCTGTTCTTTCATACTGGCTTTCATAAGTAACATTAAATTCTAAAGTAGCATGGTCTGTTAAGAACTCGATGTAAAAGAAGCTCTTCGGCCAAATTGGTAATATATACCGAAGTTTTAACATTTTGGATTAGAATGGTTAAAACACAGACAACTCACTGTGTTGCAGCATGCTATTGGTGTGACTTAATCTTGTGAACCAAATATGTTAGTGTACTGGCTGTGTGGCAGATGATGCAATTTCTGGCTCACCACAGGGGATTTCAGCACGTTTGAAAAGTCTCATGTGCTGGATGTGGCTTTTTACAAACATGTCATGGTTGTATCAATTTCTCATTAACCTTGGCTTGGATCATTAATAATAGCTCTAATTGTGTTCTAGTTTGGGGAACATGGCTTGATACTCACCCAGAGTACCTTAAGAAAAAAAGATTTTGTCTTTGTTTGAGTAAGGACACACCAGTGCAGATACCAAAGAGTTCTTGGGAATGGAGGCAGTTCTAGAGAACTCCATCTATGTCCTGTTCTCTCTCTCTCTCTGTCTATTTCTGTCTCATGGCAAGTCTTTGTATCTACTTTGTTCTCTCACTGCCAGATTGCACATTTCTTCCCTCTTCTTTGTTTTTTCTACTCTGTAGCCTCTACTTTAAATGGTTTCTGCTTCCTAGAGCTTTGGCCTATAATGCCCCTGTGTGGCCTTGGTTCTGCCTCATGGTTCCTTTATGTATGCTTTTGCAGCTTTGGCTTCTGCTAATTACTTTGCATTCATTATATTCTCACTTCAGTTTGCTGTGACAGAATTTGATTCATTCAATTTGTTTTTTCATACCAAGTTACAGGATTGATTGTAAGCCCAGCCACTGATTGGCTGGTGTTGAGTCAGACATCCACCTTTGGTCTAAACTGCTGGAATGATAATCCTGTGTGACACCCATGGCCATCCAGACAGCCCAGGAGGCAGGGCAGGAGGCAGGGACAGTTCTCTTCAAAAGAATATGAGAGTCACAGGCTTTTTACTTGACAGTTTGTTCCATTCTATTTCTTTTGGTCTTCATTGGTCTTTAAATCTGCTTTAGACATTATTTGTCAATTTTGTTTTTACATACAACATACAAAGGTATGTTTGAATTTGTGTAGATTTATAATTGAGTTCATTGAGCGCTGAAAGGTTTGAAATACAAGTGTCATAAACTCTTTAAAATATTGAAATATCTGTTTTTATACTAAACTGGTACATTCCTTATTTGTTAGTGGCAGATCACTACTTTTTAACCCCAAACTTAACTGTTTTATGTCATGAGGTCCCACATAATTGTGTAAGGAGGTGATATGGACTGGAAAGAGTACAAAGTTCTAAGTATGACCTGTTTTGCTCCCATACCTACTTCTTATTTCTCAGGCTGTGAAGAGCACAGCTTAATAATTCTCATGCAGCTCATAGTTGATGATACCACATGTAAGTATAATACAGAATCATTAAAAAAAAAAAAAAAAAAACCTATTTATATGTTAGAAAACTTTTAAGATTGTAATGATATGCTCACTTCATTTAGTATCATAAAGAAGCTCTGGTGGTGCTATAGTCAAGGCATTGAGCTGCAAACTTAAAGGTCAGCAGTTTGAACCAACCAGTCACTTTGCAAGAGAAAAAGGAGGCAGTCTGCTTCTGTAAAGATTTACAGCCTTGGAAACCCTGTGGGGGTCACTCACTATGAGTTGGAATCAACTCCGTGGCAGTGGGGTAGTTTTTAAATAAGACAGACTTCATGTATACCATATTAGTATAAAACATATTAATATATGTCTGTATCGTAATATGGAAGCTCTGGTGGTGTAGTACCTAAGGCATATGACTGCTAACCAGAAGGTTAGTGGTTTAAATCTACCAACTCCTCAGAAGAAAGGTTGGGCAATCTACTTCCGTGGTTATACTGCCTCGAAAACCCAAGGAGGGGTCGCTGTCAGTCAGATATGACTCAATGGCAGTGAATTTGGTTTTTGGTTGGTATCATAATATGCATATGTAATACTGTATATCATACATGTTACATAATTATACCTCCCTATCTGGTGGCATTCGGAAGGAAGATGGGGCAATCTACTTCCATAGTGATACTGCCTCGGAAACCCAAGGAGGGGTCGCTATGAGTCGGGTCCGACTTAACGGCACATAACAACAACAACAACATCTGGTGGCATAATGCCTAAGGCATTTGACCATTAACCAGAAGGCTGGTGGTTCAAACCCACCAACCACTCCTTGGAAGAAAGATTGGGCAATGTACTTCCATAGATATACTGCTTTGGAAACCCAAGGAGGGGTCGCTATGAGTTGAATTCAATGTGATGGCAGTGAGTTTGGTTTTGTTTTGGGTCTGTATATAGTAGTGCTTCCTCTTTTTTGCTGACCTACTTTACCAAGTAAGATGTCTATCTCCTCTTCAATGAGATGGATTGACATAGTGGCTGCTAAAAATGGGCCCAAACATAGCAATGACTGTGAGAATGGCACAGGATCAAGCAGTGTTCCATGCTCTTGTGCATAAGGTCTCTATGAGTTGGAACCAACTGTAAGGCACCTAAAAACAACAACAACATGTATATAGTAAAGCAGCCCTGGTGGCATAATAGTTAAAGAGCTCAGCTGCTAACTGAAAGGTTGGTGGTTTAGACCCACAAACCACTCTGCAGGAGAAAGACACAGTCTGCTTCTGTAAAGATTTACAGCCTTGGAAACCATACGTGGCAGTCCTACTCTGTCCTGTAGGGGTTGGTATGAGTTGGAATGAATTCGACAGCATTGGGTTTGGTTTTTGGGGTATGTGTATAGTGAGAGAACTATGTATTCTAGTACATGAGAGATTAATGATCCTCGTTCTCTAAGGCCAAGAGATTTGGAAGATAGATATGGCCAATTGACTGGAAGAGATCCATATCTGTACCCATTCCAAAGAAAGGTGATCCCACAGAATGTAGAAATATCGAACAATATCATTAATATTGCATGCAAGTAAAATCTTACTGAAGATAATTCAAAAATGGTTGCAGCAGTATATTGACAGAGAACTTCCAGAAATGCAAGCTGGATTCAGAAGAGGACATGGAATGAGGGATATCATTGCTGATGTCAGATGGATCTTGGCTCAAAGCAAAGAATAGCAGAAAGATGTTTCCTTGTGTTTTATTGACTATGCAAAAGCACTTGATTGTGTGGATCATAACAAATTATGGGTAACATTGAAAAGAATGGGAATTGCAGAACACTTAATTGTACTTATGAGGAACCTGTACATAGATGAGGAGGCTGTCATTCAAACAGAACAAGAGGACAATGCATCATTTAAAATCAAGAAGGGAGTGTGTCAGGGTTGTATCCTTCCACCATACTTATTCAAGTTATATGTTGAGCAAATAATCCGAGAAACTGGACTATATGAAGAAGAACGTGGCATCAGGATTGGAGGAAGACTCATTAACAACCTGCGATATGCTGTCGACACAACTTTGCTCCTTCAACAAAAATATATTTTAAAACTCAAATTCCAATTTTGTAGTGGAGTTTATCCTTAAAAAGTTTAATTGTAAAACAAATGTCTTACTTGGTCCTGAAATTCTTCTCATTATTGATAGCTTTTTTATAAATCTCTTTTAATTTCAAACTTATGACATCTAACTCAAAGCATAATAAAATTATATTAAAAAAATCTTATAACATCTAATAAATGTCAATCTATTACTCCAGTCTCTCTTATGACTAAAACTCAGAATAAGTAAGTCAAGTATGGTCTTGATTAGTTTCAAAGCACAATATAGCTATGTCAGTAGTTGAAAGTTCAATATAAATGGTTTCTGTGGTCTATTTTGTAAGGTCCACTATAAATGAGTAACATTCCAGTCATGTTTATACCCCCAGTTATAGAAGTTAGCTGCTATACTTTGCAGAACAGATGTATTTTTTTTTAATAGTTCCTGGTAATTTAAGATGAGAAATACATAGATATTCTAAACATTTAAACTTAGTATATTACATAGACCCTTTGTCATAATGTGGTGGATTTCATGTTGCTGTGATGCTAGAACCTCTGCCACCAGTATTTCAAATACCAAAAGGGTTACCTAAGATGGACAGGTTTCCAGAACAGAGTTTCCAGACTAAGAAGAAGGACATGGTGATCTACTGAGCTCTGGTAGCATAGTGGCTAAAGCACTTGACTGCTAACCAGAAGGCTGGCGGTTCAAACCCACCAGCCACTCCTCGGAAGGAAGGTTGG